TATAGTATATAGTATATATTATAGTATATAGTATATATAGTATATATAGTATATTATATAGTATATATATATTGTATTTATAGAGTATATATAATATATATTATATAGTATTTATATAGTATATTATATAGTATATATTTTTGTATAGTACACATACATTCTTGCAACTCCCAATTTTTATAAATGTATAAAATTTTTATAAATGTATAAAATTTTTATAAATGTATAAAATCCGATTTATTATTGTTAATATACTGTTAATCTATGAAAATTATCAAAAACATTATCATTGACATTGACTATTATTCCCGAAGAGTTAATTGTTATATTATTTATCCATATTATTATTTTGTTTTATATTATATCATATTTTGTTTTATAATGAAGACTTACATCTTTAAGGTCATATTTGGTATTAATACCTCTGGTGGCTGATTTTACGATATTGTTCATAATCAGTAACGACGTGCCGAAGCTAAAACAGAGAGAATTTTATTGTAATTGATATATATGTATAAATGTTTAATATATGAGAGAGAATGCCACGCCTTTTTAAGAAACGGATCTGTATTCGATAGAAATAACAGATAAACGTAAAACGTACTTCGAAATAGTAATATAATAATAGTATTTAATAGGATTTTCGTTTGTCCACTTTGATCTCGAATCTTAAATTCGAATTTTAATTTAAATTCTTGAGGTTGAAGATTGAACAATAATATACAACTTAAATTCAATATTCTTGGCACAACACTGTTTAAAAACTACTTATTTAAAAGGATTGAGAAAGGAAACAAAAATGGTAAAGCAAAGTTCAAGAAATAAAAAAAAAAAAAAAAAAAAAAAGAAAAATTACTCACTATTTTCGAAGACGATCCCACTTATTCCTAAGGAAATTGAACGCCAGTGGTTGTCCAATGGGATTGCTAGCAATGGAATTTAGAACACGACCGGCGTCTTGCTTTCTGATCCCCGAATTCTCCGTGATCATCCAATCTAAATAACGGCTGAGAAGCCACGTTTCTCGGGTACAGCCAAGTGCATGCAAAAGCAAATCCTTCTCAGAACCGACGTTGGTCTCCAAATACCTGTGCCAAGCAAAGTCCCATTCGATTTGTCCACCGAATCGAATAGCCGTGCAGTAGACGACCATCTTCAGATTTGGGGAGATCCTAAAATTATTCGAACGTCAATCATTGACAAAACAAAAATGTTGATTCTACGACACTATCAATTTTTTGCCGTTATTTTCTATTATTAGTAGCGATTAATTTCTTGAATAACATGAAAAATATGAAATGAAATAGAAAAGTAACATATTTTATGCATAAGAGGTAAAAGGTAAATAAATCGATAACGTGGAATTTAAATAAAGTTAAAGACTCGTTCTACTCCATTAAAAATTACGACGAATAATTTACTTTGTTAAATACTATGTATTCCTATAATCCATCTCTGTACGCGTCTTCGTATTTTAAAATTTCGCATAAATATGCAGATCCCAGTTTCTCTTGCAAATGACGTCATTATAAAATAAACATATTCTTACATTACAGAGTAAGGTGAAATTTTAGAATTAGAACTTTCGTGTTACTTCTGTTTTTTTAAAATGTCTGGTGAAAATTTAACTCTGATAAAATAAAATTCAATCCTACTTCTAAAGTCTAATAATTACGGGTAAGTATAATCAAATGATTAAAGGAAGAAATGGATTCTTACGGATTGTTTTTATCAGGACTAGGCGTGTTGCGCCAATTGTAAAACTGCCTGACAGCATTTTGCACGCAATCTTCGTGGCCGAAGTTACAAGCCCATGTTAGCACGTCGATGCGGGTGAAAACCGTCAATTGGGGATCTCGCGGGCTATCTTTGAAACCGACTTGCTTGTACACATTATCGAGTAATTTCAAAACGTATACCTAAAAGAACGCAACATCAAGAAATGGACTCAGGCAACGTGTATCCTTTGGATGATCATTGAAACAACAAATTGAATGCATTCACCTCGAAACGTACATGTATTTATGTTACACTTATCATTAAATTGCAATCTTTGAGAATAGAATTAAAAAGTTAGAAAATTGTTACTATACTTTGAATATTTCACATATTCTTCCATATTATGTGCATTCTGCACGATTTCTGTACGTATATTTAAATAAAATTTAATAAAATATATTTAAAATATTTGTTACAATGAAATATGAGATAAAAGATATTTATATAAATTGATTATTTTGAGCATCTCATTGTCAGATTAATAGATTCTTGCGCTTACTCGAAATTTGTCGTAGCTCGGCATTTTGATCAGCATGCTATCCAAATAATGCATGGCAGTGAAAGCAGCCTTCCAAGGCAGGTATTCAGTCTCGTGAGCTAAATACGACGTGACGTCCAACGCAATTGCGTAATCAAGCCTTCCAGCTCTTGCCAAATTAAGCGCATCATCTATTAACTGGGCACGATTGATCGTCGAAATGTTTCTGAAGGACTCCTTGTTCAGTTGCTTGATTATCAGTTGCCAGTTTTTCCTATCGTAGTTCACTCTGTAGTATCCTGAAGTGGGGAAACTCGACGTGAAACTTGGCGTCAATTGTTATTGTTATTCGAATAGCAAAGGATCTCAATGAAAGAAATTGAAAGAGATACTTTTCACGAACGTGATTAAAGAAATAGAATCTCTAGCGATTATTTAGATATTTGACATATTTAGATTATCTTACATAATTTTGTGTATTTTATGTATTTTTACACTGATTCAGATTTTCCAAAGTACGAAAATCTGCAGTCTAGTTATCATTTAATATTTGATACTGATGACTGCTTCAGAATTAGACTTGAGACGTGGAGTATCATACCAGTTTCTTGAATATTGAAGATCACCCACTCCGAGGGATCCCAGTTCAAATTCGACAGCGTGATCGATTTTTCTGCTTTCATCCATTGTGAAGGTTGGGTTGCATTGAAATCTAATTGACTTTCAGTCGTATATGTGATTGGTACCCACCACAGTGGCTCGACACTCGATGTGGTTACCATGGTGCCATTGCGAAGCATGAAACGTTCCTAAAATGGGCAAAACTAAAATTAAAATATGAGAAATTAGGCATTTGTGGGAAATACGTCAGTTCGTTGTAACAATTAAAAGCCACAGGCTATATAAAATATTAAAGCAAAACTTATAATAAATAATAATAATAATAAATAGAAAATATGGGATCGATTAGAATTTTAAAATCAAGCTGTCAAAATTGAGAGTGAAATATTAAAATCAGAATTAAAATTAAAATTAAAATTAAAATTGAAATATTGAGATGTTTGCAAGCAAACCTGCGTCAGCGTCACTGAACCAATGTTATAATCACGGATAACCGTGATCACTGGAAAGCCAGTCTGAAGAGTCCAGGTATCCATAATTTCTTTTACTGTTATCTTTGGTTCGAGAACTTTATCATTGTGTGCTTGTTTCGTCAATGCATCCCATAAATCGTTTTGCTCGGCGCTCTTGTACGCTCTGTTATAATAATAATAATTATACTTTAAATAATTAAGTTAATAAACCTTCGTATCGTAACAACAAACACATCCTACAGGTACAGCCACTTCGTTCAAAATTCAAATTAAATTACCATCTTTGTACTCACTTTCCATTTAAGTAATTCGTTAGACCTTGTTTGAACACTTCGTTGGTAAGAAAATGATCCATCATTCTTATTATGGAAGCAGCTATTCAAATATGAACACGATTATAACATTATAATCAATATGTACATATTAAAACATATTAAACTATGTAGTAAATGAATTATTTATTCACCTTTTTCGTAAGAAATTCTGTCGAAAATTTCACTAATCTCGTCGGGATGTTCGACTTCGATCGATATTTGATGCGACGATTCTAACGCGTCCAAACCGAAAACATTATGCAAATCGTGTACGACGAATTGCTCCAAAACTTTCCACGTTGGCTCTACCTAGAAGATAGAACACTTTTCTTAGAAGATCTTATATTATTTATATTATTATATTATACACTGCATTATATTATAATTGATAGTTATTATTTTCGTATAATTATATCACTTGATATAATAATTATAACATAATAATCGCTGGAGGATAAAACCCATAACATGTATAAAGAGTTTGGACACTAAATTATTCGACTACATTCTCAGTACTGTAGTGTTTTCCAAATTTTCCAAATCCGAAAATAAAATAAAACTCGAGCAATGCTATGTCATCTAGTGAATAGATGAAACGAGAAGAAGCATTTCAACTGAGTTATAAGTCTAATATTGTTTTATTAAGAAAAAAAAAAAAATAACAAATTTCTGAGAAATTTGCAATTTTATTATTATTTCTCATTCGAAAGAATTTCGCATTGTATAGTTCTAAATTTGCCAACTTACTGCGTTCACACCGATGTATTCCATGTAACTGGCGAAGCCTTCGTTCAACCAAAGATCCGACCACCAACTCGGAGTGACCAAGTTACCAAACCATTGATGAGCAAGTTCGTGAGATATCACTGTTGCTACTCGTTGCTGATTACTGCTGGTCGAGACGCCTTCTTGGTAAAGCATGGCAGTTTCTCTAAAAATTCAGTCACATCATCTGCCGAATGTCGTCGAAATCTCTCGTAATAGTCGTTAAGAAAAAAAAAAAAAAAAAA